TATAAACAAAGGCAGGAAGGTAAATTAAATGACAACTTGATTAACTAGCAAGAGAAACTGCTCTCCATATTTCCAAATATGCTATAATTATTAAACCAGTGTTTGGTCCAAGCAGTTTAAAAATAAAATAGATTCATATACACTATGCTTCCAATAAACAAGCCTAGGTATAATGAAACACCAAGAATATATGTTCTTTAGGGAAATAAAAGACATATTGAGTTCTTTCATTTATATTCACCATTGTGGTTCCTTTCTTCTCCTTCCCCCTCTTTCTTATAGCTAACTGGCAATTAGATTTCTAAATTTATTCCAAAACTAACAATGTATTTATAGCAGGTTAGAATACACAGAATAAGTCACACATTTGAGCTTCCTGAAAATGCAGTGGCATAGTATTTTGTAACTGAGCAGTTCTTAATTTTCTGCTAGAAGGCTTCAGCAGAATATGTGGCTACATCTAGCTATGAAAGAATTATCCTGCTGGACATCTACTGGCAATGATCCCATTCCAGCACTATTATGGTGCAATATGAATATATATGCTTACAGTAATTATCGCCCAGCACTATTATGGTGCAATATGAATATACATGCTTACAGTAATTCTCGGATTCCCAGTGTGGTGTAGTGGGTAGCATGATGGAATAGGACTCTGGAGACAAGGGTTCAAATCCCCAATTGGCTGTGGGAATTCACTGGGGGTGTGGAACTAGCAAAACCATTCCTAAAATATCTCATTTACTTTGAAAGTCCTGTAAATCGGTTCATACTTGATGGCACAATACAACACATATTGTAATTATATTTAGGAATTAAGTTCTCCCATAGTTCGGATATTATACTTTGCAGACAGAACAATATGGATGGGAATTATTTAGAATTAACTTAGAAAACAACAACACTAAAATCACTCTGTTTGTGATGGATACTGGTAGCTTTCAGATGTGGTGGACTGCATTTCCCAACATCTTTAGCCAGCTAAACCAGTTAGGATTATAATCAAATCCATGAAGAAAGCACTGGGTCTGGGAAAGTTCGCCAATGTTTTGGATTATTTTCCTGCTGACTGACGGAGTACACATTCCACATACAGTCCACATTCATGTGGGAATCCACATCCATCTTTACCAGTGTACACCCAAGAGTACTTCTACTTAGGGGGATGGTTTGCCTGAAACAGAAGCCCTGTATTGGTATCTGGCATACACAAAAATGATGTGAGGAGAAAGAATAAGAAAGGAGGGAAGGAATATTACATCTTTATCCCTTCCTATCAATTTGACACAACTCCGGGAGGCAGTGGAAGATAGGAGGGCCTGGCGTGCTCTGGTCCATGGGGTCACGAAGAGTCGGACACGACTAAACGAATAAACGACGATCATTCTGAAAATTTATCCCATTGCAATCCAAAACTGCAATTTTAAGCCTTAAATTATGTGCCATCAACTCAATTCTGACTCGTGGTTACACATTACATTTTAGGTATAGAATATAAGTATACTCAGAAGTGGCTTACCATTCCCTTTTTAGAAAGGCACCCTGGGACCGTACAGCTTCCCCAAGGCCACATAGGCTGGCTTTCCTCCTAGGATGCACAGTGGAAATCGAACTCCCAACCTTCAAATTTAGAAAGGCACCCTGGGACCGTACAGCTTCCCCAAGGCCACATAAGCTGGCTTTCCTCCTAGGATGCACAGTGGGAATCGCACTCCCAACCTTCAACACTCACTGAGTTATTCTAATCACAAGTAAGACCTAATTCAGAGCACACTTGGATGATATTGTGCTATAAGGGGCTACAGTTCAGAACACTATGAACACAGGTAATTGCTTTGCTGCAAGTTAAACCATTGCTTATATAGCTTCATATTTTACATCCATACTGAGTAAGAGTTGCTCTGCAAACATTTTGAGAGGAAAACACAGGTAATTGCTTTGCTGCAAGTTAAGCCATTGCTTATATAGCTTCATCTTTTACAGTCCATACTGAGTAAGAGTTGCTCTGCAGACATTTTGAGATGAGGCTTTGCCAGCTCTATCTGCAGATGTTCGGGATCTTTAGCATGCCAAGCACGTAATCGACCACTGACCTACAGCCCATGCCCAAAGATGAGTGATGCCAGACCTTTGAAAACTTCTGGGAGTTGTGGTCTAAAAAAGTAACTTTCTGAAGTTTGGGATGATTTACTGCCATATACAGCAAAGAAAGGAATCCTTTTCCTTTTCTCTAAAGCCTCTCCATATAAGAATTGTTTTTAAAATTCTGTGGGCTGCACTCCTGTCCACAAATTATTATGGCTTTGGCAGACCCAGTCCAAACACATATACACACACCATTTCCTTTCCCCTCCATTCCCAGATATAGGTTTGTTTAGTCCAGGGAAATCAAGGTGCCTACCCTGAATTGTTATAGTAATGCAACTTCCAGCAACTCTGTCCAGTATAGCCAGTGGTAAGGAATGCTGAGAATGGGAGATCAACCACATATGGCAGTGCATACTTTGCTTGCCCTTGATTTAGTCTTTGAGCCAAAGGTGTTCCCATATACAATTACTTCTCTCTTTCATCCTAATAAAATGGGGAACCTACAGCCCTCCAGATGTTGTTAGACCATCTTCTATCAGCCTAGCCCAGTACAGCCACTGGTCAGCAAGAATAGGAATTGCAGTCCAACAATGCAAGTCCCTATCTAAGGCATGGGCTGCCATTTATACCTAAGTGACATACCAAAGTGATGCATGTCAGAATGCCACTATTATGAAAGGAAAATCAGTATCATCCAAAAGGGCATATACTTGCTCTCTGCACATGCACCTATGTTGCTGTTTTCAGTATATCTCTCTTGCCATCTATCCCCAAATTTCCACTTAAGTGGAAGTCGCATTCTAAGCTGTTCTGTACTTCAAAAGAAACTTGCAGAGCTGGCTCAGTCATTAGGCATTTTCAGTATATCCCTCTTGTCATTTATCTCCAAATTTCCACTTAAGTGGAAGTCGCATTCTAAGCTGTTCTGTACTTGCAGAGCTGGCTCAGTCATTAGGCGAAGTGAGGCACACACTTTAGGCAGCAGATGCTGGGAAATGGGGAGCAGACAAAGCCCTGTGCGTCACATGGTCTGTCCTACCCCACTAAGCCAGTGTGCTCTATTCAACTGCAATGAAAGATGCTATTCTATCAGCAGAGTCAAATTCAGCTTCATCTATGAGCCCACTTGGTATGTTGAAACGGAGGACACTATCTTGTCTTTCCCCTTAGATAACAAAATAGCTTGAGCCAGCTCTGGTATCTAGGTGAGTTTGAGATCAATGAGAGAGAAATGTAAAGGGAAACTGAAGCAGTGGGATAGCTCCCATGCCCTAGCAGGTACTTCACCCAAACTTGGAAAAGTTACTCTTTGGACTATAGCTCCCCAAATCCCCAAGCAGCATCGCCACCGGGGAAGTCTAGGAGCTGAAGTCTAAAAAGCAGCTGATGGATTCTTGGAGTTACAGTAAAAAATAGTAGTTTTTTTCAAGTCTGTTAAAAAGGAACCTGAATATAGTGGGGTCTTGACTTAAGAACGGCTTGAGTTAAGAACATTTTGACTTAAGAACCACTCTCATAGGAAAATATTGAGTTGACTTACATACTTAGATTTGAGTTAAGAACTGAAAAAAAACCAAGTGGGAGGCAGGGAAAGTGCAAAATTTGAACTTTCAGTTAACTGTTGGCCAGTGAAAAGGGTGCCTGTCTGCTTCCTCACTCCTCCCAGCGTTTAGAGAGTGGATTGGGAGACAGTCTTCGGACTGCCTGGTACTGTACTGCCTGGACTGTATTTTCCCTGCCTTCCCTGAACCTTTCTTGACATAAGAAAAAAAGAATCAAAATATCCCCCTCTAGTGGTCGAAGGCAGAATAGCAGCTTCCCATTAGTTTCTATGGACGGAAAAGAGCAGATACGGATCAAATGGTTTTCAGTGCATTCCTATGGGAAATGCAGATTTGACCTGAGAACTTTTTGACTTGAGAACCGCCTTCCAATACGGATTAAGTTCTCAAGTCAAGACCCCACTGTATTTGTTGGAGACCCCTTTGAGCCTTGTGTTGCTGAACTTGGGGATGGAAAAGACACAGCTCTAGATGCCAAAAAAAAGTACCAGTCCACCAGTAAAAATAAATAAATAAATAAAAATCTTTGTTTATTTCAACCTGTTAATGATTTAGTTAAGTCAATTTAAAACATGACAGTTAATCAACCCTCAAACACTTCCCAACCACCTTATCTTCCTTCCTTGCACTCTGCTTTTTTCTGATTTTACTTAAAATATTTTCCAGCCATCATTCAGAATTGACTGCAGAGCCACCTGGTGGAGAGCAGCAGAGCAGAGACTTTCTATTGCTGAAGATTATCAGCATTTTACAAAGCTGATTTTCCCCTACCCATCCTTACTGCTGTGACTGGAGGGGACATATTAATGAGACTGAAATATATATTTTTTTAAAGTTATGACTCCGCCATTGTGGTATGGGGAACAAGAAAAAGACAGCCAGTTCGGGGGGCTGGGGAGTGCAAGGACAAGCATCCCAAAAGTAGATGAGATGGCACCGATTTATTTCGGCAGCAATCCCCGTGTGCAACTCAACTAAAGACTAAGTTCTGTTGTACTCTGCAAGGCTGCCTTCAAAACAAACAAGGCCTTGGGACAGCAATATTGCTACATGAACCATTAGGAGGCAAAGCCAACTATTTTACTTCTCTTCGGGAAAAGCTCCACAGTGGCAGTTTAGGACAAGGCTGGAGCCGGGCTCCTTCCCTCCAAATCCTGAAGCAACAGAGAACAGCGTTTTGGGGAGGAAGTGGGCTGCAACATTTCAGTGCAGATCTATAATTCTGCAGCTGTTCAGAGTTCCTCCCCCGCCCACCTCCCCGTCTTTTCCTCTTTTAAAACTGCACTCAAGCGCGCCTGTCAATGCGGCACCTAATGCCTTATGTAAGAAGCACTGCGCCAGCTAGCTTACCCAGTGCAGGCGACTGATGCAGACCTTGGCAGCCAGGAGGGGGACGGTGGGATCCTCTGGACGCAGCTTTGCACATTCTCTCAGCACTGAGACAGCGTGTGCCGACTGGGGTCGAGGGGGAGACAGACAGAGAAGCAAGGAGGGGGGAAAAGTTGGTTAGACGATGCAGCTATGCAGCACGGATATATTCCTCCTGCCAAAGGTCACCTCTCCATTATTACTAAATACTTCTAAACACTAAATACTTTGAGAGGAGAACAGGGGCTTTACAAGTGTACAATCAAGTTACCTTTTTAAAACTGTAACTTTCAGAATGTGCCAGCCTGCTAGGCCATGTGGGATTCTGGGAACTTTAGGGCAACATTCCCGAAGCTCTGTCCCAAACTGTACAACTTAGAAGCTTGTGCCTCCATTGCTCTTGGTCCCCTATGTGTCAGAACTAGCTGGAGATACTGGGAAGCAAGGGAAATACATTTTGCATCTGTTCAGAGACACTCTCCATCTTATTCTGTATTAGGACCCTGGCAGAGAAAGGGCTTTGTCTCTATTAGGATGGAAGCACTGGGGATTAATGGCATGTCTCTGGTATGTGTTTATAGACAAATACACATGTTGCATATGAAGAACCAGATGTGCATCATAAAAAATAAGAACACAATAGTAATAAGTAAAGTGTAGCATAGTCTCTCTGAAGAAGAGTAGTATCACAACAGTCTTCTGTAAGGGATATATGGGGAGGAAAGGGGATCTAGAAATCAGAGAGCTAAAAAGAGAACTGAGAAGGACCCAAAGATTAGAAGGACTATTTTGGAAATTAAGAAGTCCATTCAGCTTGCTTTCCAAAGGTATCTTGTCTCAGACTATTGTTCAAGATGCAGCATAAAGCCTGTGTGATGTAGTAGTTAGAGCCTTGGACTAGGACTCAGGAGACCCATGTTCAAATTCCCATACAGACATAAAACTCACAGGGTGACCTCAAACCAGTTACATTCCACCAATGTGACCTACCTCACAGGGCTGTTGTGAGGATAAAGTAGGGAAGAGGGCAGCCACTGACACCACCTTTAGTTCACTGGTTAGGTTAGCCATCCTTCAGTCTCGAGAGACTATGGTAACGTGCTCTGAATTCTGGCAAACTGAATTGGAGCAATTTGGCTTTGCTGCAGCTTGATTTGTAGTCTCTTTTACAAGTGTATTCAGCTTATGTCAATGATTCCCTACCTTGGGTCCCCAGATGTTCTTGGACTTAAACTCCCAGGAGCTTCCACCACGAACGGTCTTGGCCAGGATTTCTGGGAGTTGGAGCCCAAGAACATCAAGGGGCCAGAGATTGAGAAGAACTGGCTTAGGTGTTCATACTAAAACTGCACTTTGTTCAGTGCCAGTACCTGCACTGGCCCTCAATTTAATACAATTTGATCATGCCCACAGCCCCCTTCCTTTCACACCACCCATCTGGGATAGCGAGTTCTCCTTTCATATCTTTCCCTCTTTTTCCCCCTAGAGGTGATCTAGCACTAAACTCAGTACAGTACAGTAGTTTGCTTTTAAAAACGAAACACTACTTTGGGATGAGTAGGGAGAAATATCACAAGAGTGGATGTTACTGCTGTCCAAAAATAACAAGCTGCAGCTTTTTTTTTTCATAACCAAAACAGTACCCAGAGTCATGCCCAGAAACAAATATCACACAGGAAAACACTGTTGGAATTGGTTGTTGTGGGTTTTTCGGGCTTTTTGGCCATGTTCTGAAGGTTGTTCTTCCTGATGTTTCGCCAGTCTCTCTGGCCAGCATCTTCAGAGGAACAGGAACATGGACAGAGTTCCTATTCCAGTCCTCTGAAGATGCCGGCCACAAAGACTGGCGAAACGTTAGGAAGAACAACCTTCAGAACATGGCTAAAGAGCCCAAAATACCCACAACAATCATTAGATCCCGGCCGTGAAATCTTCGCAAATACACTGTTGGAATTGTTCTGACTTTTTAAAAAGGCCGTGAAAGCCTTCGCGAATACACTGTTGGAATTGTTCTGACTTTTAAAAAGTAGAACCCATATGGAAGAGGAAAATACTCCGAATCAGAAGCAAAAAGGGCTAGACCGATTTGCATTGGCCTTTGTGTCATATGATCATTGAAAATTACTTAGAATTCACTCATGTGGAGCAAATCCTGAAGTATGTGTTAATGCAATCACAGTGAAAGGTGCAATATAAAGAAAAGGCGTCACTCTTTGGAGATTGATGGGGAAGCTTTCATCCTTCACCTCTCTCTCTAGATCTCAGGGGATAATGGGTGCTCCAACGGGAGGCTCCAATCTCAACATCCTAACAGAGGCTAAAACCTCCCATCCCTGCATAACAACTACATATGATGAGTGTGCACCGAGGGTATGTGTGTCTATATGTAAGTATCTGTGTTGCACACATGTGCCTGCATATCTCAATACGTACTGGATTCGGTTCTTGGGGGCTGATACAGACAGACTTGTACAAGACCTAACAACAATGAGAAGCCTGATACACTAGTCCTTAAAAAAGGCAACAGTTCAACAGGTCCAGCTATCACTGGTTGAAGCATTTTGACATCAGACAGCTACTGCATTAAAAGTGCAGGCTCCCACTTTAGACTCACACTGTAGGTATGGGGGGTGAGTGGGGGGAGAGGATAAAAAAGCTCACCCACAGCTTTTGCAACGAGCTGAGGTCTTGTGTACGGTAAAGAGCAGGAGTCCATGTGGGGAAACTCCTGAAGAGAGAAGTTACCACCAAAGATTCCACGGAAGTTGTGAGAAGAATTTGAGAGTTCCTTGTTCAGAAAAACATCCAAAAAATCTCAAAGGATGCAAAAATAATAATTTTAGTACAACTAGTGAAATTCCTTTGGGGTACCATGGCAGCCTGGTAGCAGGTCCCAGGACTGTAAATCTTTGGGGAATTAAAAAAGCAGGAAGTAGTAAAGAAGACCCTCCCCCCTTTTACTTGTCCACTGATGAAATGATGGATTCATATCTGACAAGCAGTAGTTACCCAACAAGGCTATACGGAATCTCCTTACAGTAAGTTACAGTAAAGAGAGGAAGAAGTTATTTTATTTAACAGGAAGATGTTCTTTTGTTGCTACTGTTGCTGAATATTTGGAATCAGAAATCCTTGCCAATCTACAGCAAACCCTCCAGATGCCTACCTTCTGTCCAGCCATGTTTTGAATCATCTGGTCTTTTAACTTAAAATACCAGAGTATGCATGCAAGACTCCAGCTTTCCAGTCATGTGCTCAACACTGTGCTCTACCTCTCCCCTCACAGAAAGCTTTACAGTCCCATTTATGAATCCACGGCAGCCATTTGCTTATACCGGAGAAGATGAATGAATACAAGAGGACTTAATTTTTCTCCCTAACCATAATGAGCCCGATTTCTGTGATGAGGCTTAGTGTTTTTTTACCCTTTCCACTGTGTTTCACATTGTACTCTGTTCCTTTAGACCCACTGAAGGTAACAGGAATAGAGCCTTGGAATTATTATTTTTGGGTATTACAACTTCCAGATTGCTCTAGTCAACATATATAGTGGCTCTGCTCAAAAGAGCCATTAAAACAGGCCCACACTCCCTTGAATACGCATTGCCTTGCATGTGTACTTCCTCACCCTGTGTCATATACAGAGAACCAATGTGGCAAAATGCTTAAAATTTCAAGATTGGGAGTTGGGAAATGCATGTTCTCATCACCACTGAGCCATGAAACTTGCTGGACAGTTCCTCATCTACCTTATAGGACTCGCGTGATGATAAAATGGGGGAGAGGAGACCCATGGGGGTGTTGCCATGAGCTAACCAGTGAAAAGCAAGTTATAAATGTATCCAATCAACAACAATAAGAATGGTTGCTGTGGGTTTTTCGGGCTCTTTGGCCGTGTTCTTAAGGTTGTTCTTCCTGATGTTTCGCCAGTCTCTGTGGCCGGCATCTTCAGAGGACTGGAGTAGGAACTCTGTCCAAGCTCTGTTGCTGCTTGTTGGATAGTTGAGTATTTATAGCTGTGGGAACAGCTTTTGTCCTTTTCAGGAGATAGGGTGATCAGTGTGTTTTTGTTGTGGATGTATTGTTGTGATAAGTGGGAGAGATTATCTGTCATTGTGTTTGATGGGTGTCTTTAGCTGGTCTCTTTTGTGCAATGATTCCTGGTCCTTGTGGGTGGGTAGAGTTCATTGATCTTCTGCAGGCTGTATTCTCCAATGCTGGAAGCCAGGCCTTGTTCAGTTTCAGACTTTCCTCTTTTTTGTTGAAGCTATGCTGATGTTTATGGATTTCAATGGCTTCCCTGTGCAGTCTAACATAATGATTGCTGGTGTTGTCCAGTACAGTGGTGCCCTGCATAGCGACGATAATCCGTACAGCCAAAATCGTCGCTATACGGATTCGTCGCTATGCAGAACAAAGAAGCCCATAAGAATGCATTAAAATATGTTTAATGCGTTCCTATGGGCAAAAAACTCACCGTTCTGCGAA